TGGTTCTATTATATCATTATCATATTACTATTACCATTACTATTTTTCTCATTTTCCTTGCCATTATCATCATTGTTGTTATTATTATCATCATCATCATCACCATCATCATTAGCATCATCATCATCATTATCATCATCATCATTATCATCATCATCATCGTCATTATCATCATCATCGTCATTATCATCATCATCATCGTCATTATCATCATCATCGTCATTATCATCATCATCGCCATTATCATCATCATCGTCATTATCATTGTTATCATCATCATCATCATCGCCATCACCATCATCATTATCATCATCATCATCATCATTATCATTGTTATCATCATCACCATCATCATTATTTCCATCACCATCATCACCATTACACAGCCCCTTCCATCACCACCACCATCATCCTTAAAAATCTAACCACAATGACTACCATTACCATTGACAACACCAACCTGACCAATCCCCCCCTTCTCCCCACGTCCCTCTCCCTCCCCCCTCTACCCCCATTACATTACCACCGCTGACCACCCCCTTCCCCCTCCCCCGCTCGTCCCTCCCTCCCCCTCCCCCTCTTTCCCCCATTACCATTACGATTACAACCTGACCACCCCTTCCCTCCCCCCCACGTCCCCTCCCTCCCACGCCCCCTCTTCCCCCCATTACCATTTCCAACCTGACCACCCTTCCCTCCCCCCACGTCCTCCCTCCTCCCCTCCCCCCTCTTCCCCCAGAACCTAGCCGTAGGAGATCGTCACGGCATCGTCAGCGTCATCCACCTCCAGGGGATGGAGTCAGCGACCTCCACCGGGTTCTACAAGTTCTCAGTCACGGTGTCTAAGATCTCCATGTTGGGGAGGACGAGCGAGGAGGAGGAGGCGGAGGAGGAGGAGGAGGAGGAAGAGTAGGAGGAAAGGAGGAGGAGGAGAGAGGAGGGGAGGAAGAGTAGGAGGAGGAGGAGGCAGAGGAGGAGGAGGAGGAGGAAGGAGGAGGTAGAGGAGGAGGAGGAGAAAAGAGGTAGAGGAGGAAGTAGGAGGAGAGGAGGAGGAGTAAGAGGAGGAGGAAAGGAGGAGAGGAGGTAAAGGAAGAGGAAAGGAGGAGGAGGAAAGGAAGAGGAAGAGGAGGAGGAAAGGAGGAGGAGGAAGAGTAGTAGTAGGAGGAGGAGAGGAGGAGAGGAGGAGAAAGAGTAGGAGGAGGAGGAGAGGAAGAGTAGTAGTAGTAGGAGGAGGAGGAGTAGGAGGAGAACGAAGAGGAGGGGAAGAGGAGGAAGAGGAGGAGGAGAACGAAGAAGAGAAAGAGGAAGAGAAGGAGGAAAAGGAATAAGAAGAGCAGAAGGAAGACGAGGAGGAAGAGTAGCAGGAGAAAGAGGAAGAGGAGGAAGAGAAAGAGGAGGGAGAGGAAGAAGAAGAAGAGGAGAAAGAGAACGAGGAGGAAGAGTAGGAGGAGGAAGAGGAGAAGGAGGATTAATAGTAGTAGTAGTAGGAGGAGGAGGAGAAAGAGTAGGAGGAGGAAGAGTAGGAGCAGGAGAAAGAGTAGGAGATAGGGTAGGAGAAGGAGGGAGAGAAAGAGGAAGAGGAGTAAAGATCGTCTTTGGAATCTGCTCAAAAAATATAATCATTATCATTGCTATCATTATTATTATTAATATTACTAATACTGTTACCATTATACCTACTATTATTGTTATAAACATTATCATTATTATCTTTGCTACTACTGTTATTGTTATCATTATCATTGTAATTATTGTCATTATTACTATTAATATTGGTATTATCATTATCATCATTATTATAAGTAGTAACAGTAGTATTATCATCTTTATTGTCATCATTATTATTGTTATTATTATTATTATCACTATCATTATTGATATTGTTATTATCATTATTATCTTTATTGTTATCATTATGATAATAAATAACAATAAGGATTATCATTATCATTATCAATCTGATTAGTATTATCATTATTACTATTATCATTATTATTCTTATTTCTTTATTCTTATTCTTATTCTTATTATCATTATTGTTATTATTGTTATAGCAATGTTAGTGAAGTTAGTGAAGAAAACTGAGCTAAGCAATGTTTGATGAAGAAAGAATTGTTAGTCACTAAACTTTGTGAATAAATTATTTGTTGAATTAACGGTTCTTATATATCCTTCCCGGATCGATATTATAGAATTAATAATATTGAGAACTTTTGAAACAAAATAGAATGTCTCCGAGGGAATTAAATTGAGGAATACACTATAAATGTTTTTTATGCAAATCGATGTCTACATTCATATTTCTTAATCTGTTATCTATCAATCAATGGAAAGAATTTATTGGCTGAAACCTTTGTTTTTTATGCAAATCGATGTCTACATTCATATTTCTTAATCTGTTATCTATCTATCTGCCTCTATATGTCAGTTTCTATATCTGTGCAAAACACTACCTATCTCTTTATGTCTTATAATATGTTAATCTATATTCATTTACCACTTTCCAAAGTCTATATATATTTTTTTAAAGGAAAATAGCCACAATAAGAAATGAAAAAAAATTGTTACCTTTTCCTCCTATCCCACCCCCCTTTTCTCTTCCCCATTGTCTTTCTCTCCTCCTTCCTACATCTATTTTCCCTCTCCCACCCTCCTTCCTCTTCCACTCACCCCATCCCATCCCCTTCCTCCTACCCATCCCCTCCCCCTCCTCCTTTCCCCCTTGCTACTATTAATCCTCCTCCTCCTCTTCCTCCTCGTCTTCCTGCTCCTCTTCTTCTTCCTCCCCACCTCCTTCGTCTTCTTTCTTCCTCTCCCTCCTCTTTCTCTTCCTCCTCCCCTCTCCTACTCTCTCCTCCCCGTCCTCCTTCTGCTCTTCTTATTCCTTTTCCTCCTTCTCTTCCTCCTCCTTACTAAAGACGAAAGATCATCCTAGCCCTATTGACACAAGTTAAGAATTGGCAAATTTCTAATCATCTGAGCTTCAAGCAATTTTCTTTCATAAGAATTTATAGATTTTTGAGTTAATTTAGCGTCTTTCCAGTAAACCCTTTCTGTACCGACTATAGAAGGAATTAGAATTTTCTTGTGATTTTTAGACATGTTCTTTATGGCGCACTTAAGTATCCTATATATGTTTTTAAAATAAATATTTGATACATATTTCAAGGGCGGGTATTGGGGTTCTCTTCAGGTAGGGTGGGACTATCAGTGCCCGTTAGACAAACAGGAATTAGATAGAAATTAATATTTTCTTGTTGAAATATATAACGTGATAAAGGTTTATAATTCTCTTGACTCATATATAAAATAAACGAATGTTTTTATTTCATCAATCCAAAATCTATAATTTTTTTGTAAAAATATTCTCCCTGGCAGCTGTTGCAGGAAGGACTAAAATAGCATTATACTTAAAATCGTCACACTCAGGAACTGAAACTAATCTGTAATGATTGCAATAGCTGAAACTACAATTCTCGATGTAATTAACATATATAGAGAGAGCAAGACATGTGAAACTAAACTAAGGAAGGAAGGGTAGAAGCAATTTTTCATAGAACCACAGCACAGTTGTACACCACAGTGGCTGCATCTAGAATTATATTAATTATATATATTTAATATGTCATCATTCATAATGTTTTATATGTAGATCCTACTATGACTCTCTCTTTATTCATCTATATATCTTTGTAACTTTCAGCATGTCTGCCTGTATGTCAATATGCTCTCAACTCTCTCTCTTTCTGTCTGTCTGTCTCTCTCTCTCTCTCTTTCTCTCTCTCTTTTCACTCCTCGCATCTTGCTTGTTTAGATTTTGTTTGTTTTTTATTCGTTATTTTGAGTTTCTTAACGCTTTTTTCATTCAAAAATTTCTTTCAATTTTCTCTCTGTTTCTATCTTTTTTCATTCAGAATTTTCTTTCAATTTTCTCTCTATCTTTCTTTGTTTTTCTTCTGTATTTAGATATAAATGTATAGAAGGAAACACATCTAACTTTATCCATTTATTCATTGTTTTTATCATTCTCACTTTATATTTAGTCGTTTGTTTATTCTACATTTTGAACTATTCCGCGTTTCGTTAATGTCCCCCTTCTTCTACGACAGTTTTTATCGTGAAAAAAAAAAAAAAAAAAAAAAAAAAAAAATGGAAGAGGGATAGAGAAGGTGGGGCGGGTAGGGGGCGATTGGAGATGAGAAGGAGAGAGAGAGGGAAGAGGGGAGGGAGAGAGGAAGAGGGAGAGGGAGAAGATGGGGAAAGGGAGGGAGGGAGAGAGGAGAGGGAGAAGAAGAGAAAGGAGAGAGGGAGGGTGGTAAGGAGAGGGAGAGAGAGGAGAGAAAGAGAGAGGGAGGGTGGTAAGGAGAGAGGGATGAGAGAGAGGGATAGGGAGGGCAAGAGAGAGAGAGAGAGAGAGAGAGAGAGAGAGAGAGAGAGAGAGAGAGAGGAGAGAGAGAGAGAGGAGAGAGAGAGAGAGAAGAGAGAGAGAAGAGAGTGTTAAACAAACAAATTTACCTTTATGTTTTTTTTATTTATTTATTATTATTATTATATATTTTTTTATAATTCTGACTTTCTCTATTCTCCTTTGTTTATTCCATTTCCTTTTTTCTATCCAATTATTTCGTGTATCGATAACGTTCCCCAACCGACCCCCGTTCTTTTCTCGTAAAAAAATATAAGAAGGAAAAGGGGGAAGGAGGGGAGAAGGGAGATGAGGAAGAGAGAGGGAGGGAGGGAGATGGAGAGGAAGAAAGATAAGGAGGGAGAGAAGAAGGGAAAGGAAGAGAGAGGCAGAAAGGCAGAGGGAGAGAGAGAGAAACGGAGGGGGGGGGGGAAAGGAAAAGAGAGAAAGATAGAAGGAGCCATAGAGGAAGAGAGAGGGAGAGGAGAGGAAGAGAGGGAGGGAGAGAGGAAGGAGGGAAAGGAGAGAGAGAGGAGAGAGAGAGAGAGAGAGAGAGAGAGAGAGAGAGAGAGAGAGAGAGAGAGAGAGAAGAGAGAGAGAGAGAGAGAGAGAGAGAGAGAGAGAGAGAGTAGGAGGGATAGAAAGGAAGGAATTAAGAGGAGGGAGAGGGTGTCACCTAGTACCCTGCGCTCCAGTCAACAACCCCAAGCAACGGCTCTCCTTTCTGAAGTCTCCTGTAATTCTCAACGAAGCAGTCCAGAGTAGATTCCACGCGATTCTTCCAGGAGCCATAAGCTGACACGTGTGGAGTGAGGAAGACCTGGAAACATGAGACAGGTTGGAAAAGGGTTGAGCTTTTGTGCATTTTTTGGAGGGTTAATGTTTAGCGAAAGTGTAGTGAAGGAAAGGGTGATGTTATTGGATATTTGTGTAGGCAGTTGTGGTCTTTCATTTGCTGTAATGTAGCATATCCTTAACTTACACAACACAGTATTTAGTGAGAATATTTTTTAAATCGAATTTGTAATCGGCGTTCTTAATGTGATTTAACATGGGGATTTTTTAGTCATAAAAGTATTTAGTGAGAATATTTTTTAAATCGAATTTGTAATCGGCGTTCTTAATGTGATTGAAAGGAAAATTGATTAGCTGTGTTATGAAAATGTATATGATTTGGTATTTAAGTTAACAATATATATTATCCTCTGCAATAGTTTGAAATATATTTGGCTTACTTTCAGAACCATTTAGTGACAATTGATTCTGATGAAAATAGCGTTAAACCTCTGATATATACACTATATACTTTTTATGCGTGATCAACTTCCCTAAATAAATATGTATTCAAAATAATGATAATGATAATAAAGGACATTAATAGCAATAATGCCAATAATGATATTGATGAAGATGATGATCCTGATAATAAAAAACAGTCCAGGTGCCCACTCTCTTTTATCCACAAATCACAACCGTAAAAATAATTATGATAAAAGACATTAATAGCAATAATGCCAATAATGATATTGATGATTATTAAATCAATAAACAGTCCAGGTGCCCACTCTCTTTTATCCACAAATCACAACCGTAAAATAATGATAATTATGATAAAAGACATTAATAACAATAATGTCAATAATGATATTGATGAAGATGATTATAACAAAGAACAGTTCAGGTGCCCACACTCTCTTATCCACAAACCACAACCGCAAAACCTTCCCTTAACTTGAAGACCCTCAGCCCACAGACCTTGGGATGAGTCCACAGAAGACTCTCCTCGGGCAGTGGCTCGGTCTCGAACACGTCAAGGATGGTCCCCGAGATCCAGCCGGCATCGAGGGCGTTCAGTAAGTCTTTCTCGCTGATGAGGTCTCCGCGACCGGCGTTCAGCAGCACGGGACACTTTCTGGGAACGGGGGGAGTCCATGTTATTTCTGAGGGTGTAGGTATTAGGCTTTCAAAAGGATTCTGGGTTATCTGTGGATGGAATGTATGGATTCTTATTGTGTACTTCGTGTGCATTTAAAGGATTCTAGGTTATTTACCATGGATGAAAAGTATGTGAAATGTATGCATACTTATCCTGAGAGAAATGTAATAACTCCTTATCTTATTTATCCAGTATCAAGCATGTCATGCCCCTTATTTACCCAGCATGAAATGTATGAATGTATGAACTCTTGCCATGTTCACTCAACATAAAATACTTAAAATCTTCATCTTATCTACCCAGCACAAAATCTCTGAACAAGCCAAAGGAATCCCATGTACTTAGCGGCTTTCAGGACATCTCCTCCTAGTAGACCCTTAGTCGTAGGTGTTGAAGGAAGGACGCCGATCACGTAGTCACACTCGGCCAAGAAGGACTCCATCTGCCCAGTGCTCCTGAGGAGACGGGGCTTGGCGTGAGGGCTTGGGTATAGGGGTCGTGGTTGTTATATGACTGCAGGCGTTGTTTTTAGGCGAGGGGGGGGGGCATAGATAGAGGGTTCAGGTTTGTTGACCAACTAGATCTTTGAGTATTAACCTGCATAAAATGTGCAGTTTTTTCATGTGCAAATTGTAGACAATTTAGATTATTTAATAATTGTTGGGGAGAATGATTTGAATTTTTGCACACACAAGCTAACACACACATACATACACATACGCATACACCCATACCCACACGTCCACACATTCCGAAACACTTCCATCGAAATTCCACGACACTTTTCTTCGCAGACTCACCAGTAAACGTCTATATAAGGAGACCTCGCGCTTTCTCCCTGAGGCGTTCTGCTGAAACCGTGGACTGTACACTGGAAAGATTTCAGAACTCGAGCCACTGGAAGAATACATTGAATATTGTAAAAAATATCTCCTGGTGTGGTAAGTATAGGGAAGTGTGTATGTATCATTAATGGTGTCAGTATATGAATCGTGTACATAGGAAATCATTTGTAAAGGGTGGAAGATAAATATATCGACCATGACTTTTCTGTAACATTGTGATATGAAGAATTTCACTGATAACCATTCAGTACACTTTATGAACAGAAAAAAAAAAAAAAAAACAAGTCAGCGTTCCCAGATTCCCAGATGGGAGAGGGAGATGGAAGAAGGAGAGAAGTGGAGAGAGAGAGGAAGGGAGAGGGAGAGAGAGGGGGGAGAGGGAGAGGGAGAGGAAGAGGAAGAGGAAAGAGGAAGAGAGAGAGAGGGAGAGAGAGAGAGGAGAAGAGAGAGAGAGAGAGAGAGAGAGAGAGAGAGAGAGAGAGAGAGAGGAGAGAGAGAGAGAGAGAGAGAGAGAGAGAGAGAGAGAGAGAGAGAGAGAGAGAGAGAGAGAGAGAGAGAGAGAGAGAGAGAGAGAGAGAGAGAGAGAGACGTGAGAAAGAAGAAAGAGAGAGAGAGAGAACACTAAAGAGAGAAAGAAGAAAAGAGAAAGAGAGAGAGAGAAAGACCACTCACCTTCCAGACCCATGCTCCCTATGCCGAGGATGCCAAACGTGAGGTCCCTGATGCTGCGGTACAAAGCGAATCTTGGTCCTCTGTCGTACACCTTCTTCAGCTGGAAGACATGGCAAGTTTAATTGTTTATTTATTCATATATTTCCATCTCTATCGTTCTCTCTTGTACTAAACGTAGGTTGTATGAAAGTTATTATTACTTTATTTACATTTCTATCGTTCTCTCTTGTACTAAACGTAGGTTGTAAGTATGAAAGTTATTACTATATTTACATTTCTATCTTTTGCTCTTATATTACACGTAGGTTGTAAGTATGAAAGTTATTATTACAATTGATTTCATCGATATTGAAAGCACATAAACTAACATAAAATACCATCAGAGATTTAAAAAAAATCTAGGCTCTCTTCTCTATCAAACTCACTATTGAGAGACAAATCAAACTCATAATTCAGACACATAAGGAGACCCATAACAGAATCAGACCACACTCATAATTCATGTTAAAATTATGCGAGGTCCGATCCAATGGACATGCATATACTCAGGAATAAATGCATATCTTTCAGTCTAGACATGTATATCTACCGTACAGATAGAAAAATAAATATATTTAATAGATCGATAGATATGCATTTATGTCTGTGTATATGGATGTCTGTTTATACGAATATACTCAGGAATGATAGTATATCTATCAGTCTATACATGCATATCTGCCGTATAGATAGATAAAGGTATATATATCTGATAGATAGGCAAGTATGCATTCATTCATGTGCATTGGCTTCTCTGTATATACGAATTTTCATTGGGTCGAGGTTCCCACAATTTTAACAAACATTTCGTTAGACACAAATCAAATAAATAATAAAAAAGATCTCTAGTTTCCCTTACAGAAAGATGCCGTCTATATAACATTAGCACTGGTCTCTCTACCTGGTTCTACTCTATCTACCTGGTTATATCTACCAGGTTCTACTCTATCTACCTGGTTATATCTACCAGGTTCTACTCTATCTACTTCTATCTACCTGGTTATACCTACTACTCTAATCTACCTGGTTCTACTCTATCTCCTCTACCTGGTTCTACTACCTGGTTCTACTCTATCTACCTGGTTCTACTCTATCTACCTGGTTCTACTCTATCTACCTGGTTATATCTTACCTGGTTCTACTCTATCTAACCTGGTTCTACTCTATCTACCCTGGTTATCTACTCTATCTACCTGGTTCTACTCTATCTACTGATTCTACTCTTATCTATCTGGTTCTACTCTATCTACCCTCTACTCTATCTACCTGGTTCTACTTCTCCTGGTTCTACTATACCTGGTTTCTACTCTATCTACCTGGTTCTACTCTATCTACCTGGTTCTACTCTATCTACTCTATCTACCTTCTTCTACCTGCTTATATCTACCTGGTTCTCTCTGGCCTCACAGAAAAATTCCGTCTACATAGCATTAACACTGGCCTCTCCACCTGGTTCTACTCTATCTACCTACTTATATCTACCTGGTTCTACTCTATCTACCTGCTTATATCATTAACACTGGCCTCTCCACCTGGTTCTACTCTATCTACCTACTTATATCTACCTGGTTCTCTCTGGCCTCAAGGAAACCTCGCTCCCAGCAGATGGCGGCACCCACGACGTACTCGGCCATCAGCAGTGCCACTCCGGTGCCAGTGTTGCGGCTCACGACGAAGTGTGGGGGTCGCTGCAAGTTAGTAAATGTGTGAATAAATGATTGGATATGTAAATAAGTAAATAGATAAATGGATAACTGAAGTAAATAGGCAGATATATGATATGAATTGATATATGGTACTAATATATATGTAGAATGACATTGATAAGTGAATGAATAAATAAATAGCTAAATGAATGAATGAATATATACACTAATAAATACGCAAATAATTGAATAAAAAAGCATAAAATGAATGAAAGATAGAGATGCATATGAATTAGAGGTTACTATGGGGTCAGGTAAAAAACGTTAATAAAGAAGGGAGGAGGGAATGAAAGAAAAGCAGATAAGTGAAATACAAATTATTGTGGATTGGGTGCCCGTTGGCTTGGTAAAGGGGGGGGGGGGGGGTTATCACCTTGGGTAAATAGGATTTAGGAATTTAATTATCATCTTACAAACTAAAAAAAAAAAAAAAAAAAAAATAATAATAATAATAATTTAAAGGGTGATAGTATTGAAAACATTAATATGATGATGATAACGAAAATAAATAATAATGACATTGAGGATGATTATCAATTACATCAGACAATGACAGTGACGGTAACTAAAGATAAGATAGTGAAAACGCCTTGTCGTTGTGAAATGCAGGCAGCCACCTGTTACTGATAGCATTAGAGAGAGAGAGAGAGAGAGAGAGAGAGAGAGAGAGAGAAGAGAGAGAGAGAGAGAGAGAGAGAGAGAGAGAGAGAGAGAGAGAGAGAGAGAGAGAGAGAGAGAGAGAGAGAGAGAGAGAGAGAGAGAGAGAGAGAGAGAGAGAAGAGAGAGAGAGAGAGAGAGAGAGAGAGAGAGAGAGAGAGAGAGAGAGGGAGGAGAGAAGATAGAGAGAAGATAGATAGATAGATAGAGAGAGAGAGAGAGAGAGAGAGAGAGAGAGAGAGAAGAGAGAGAGAGAGAGATATCATATATAATTCCATATATAATTATTCTAACGCATGGAACGCATATGAATAATCTCTAAATACGGTTTTCTACAATCTTGCTGAATATTCTCTACCTCACTGTTAGTATGGGGAAAAATTATGCTCAAGTATTAACCATGAAATGTGAGTAATAAAGAACTTTTTATATGAGTGGGATACAATGTTATAATCAAAGAATAACCTTAGTGACAATGGCATCTAGTTACATTAAAAAAACAACACCAAAATAACACATATCATGAATTATTAAATATAGCATCGGTAATGCTACCCATAATGTAATATATGTGATACATAGTAAACTTGTATAGTAGACTATATGTAAACATATGCACTTCCTCTTAAACTTGATTTTTATTTATACCGGATTACAGTGCAAATTAACCATTGTGATATATCATGAAGAGAAATTTAAGGATGTTATAAGATAACGATACAAAGCATGGAAAGCACTGGAAAAACTGCCAAATATTTTCTTAGTATATTTGTTATAGTTACCCGTTGAATTACCTAAAAGAAAACGTTATAAAAATGAGGAGGGCTAACTATAATATTTGTAAAATTGCCACAATAACTGAATTTCATTTAATAACTTTATTTCTTCGATGAATATTACAAACAAAATCCAGTCTAAGTACAAAAGTAATCTGAGCTCTAATAAATCAAAAGCTTTACAAGTATAAGGTGAAAGATGGTCACACTCACTGAGGTAAAGACATTTTCTGATACAAGATTCTGTCTCCTCAATTCTCATTCAAACCTTTCAGTCTCTCACAAAACAAACAAACAAACAAAAACTCGACTTCTGGATAAAAAAACACCAGTTGCTCCTTATGATGTAGGTTATATCGCTATATTAACTATCTACTTCTTCCGCGACTATAAAAGTTAAGATAATAGAGAGATAAGATATCCCCCAATCTCCTATTACCGTACATATCGTATATTCGAGGGAGAAAATAGAAAAAGAGTAAGAAAAAGAGAAGAGAAAAAAATATGAAAAAAAAGAAAGAAAGAAAAAATCAGACACACACACGCACACAGAAAAGACACACACACACACACACACACACACACACACACACACACACAGCACACACACACGAGAGAGAGAGAGAGAGAGAGAAAGAGGGAAGAAAAAGAGAGAGAGAGAGAGAGAGAGAGAGAGAGAGAGAGAGAGAGAGAGAGAAGAGAAAGAGAAAGAGAAAGAGAAAGAGAGAGAAAGAGAAAGAGAAAGAGAAAGGAGAAAGAGAAAGAGAAAGAGAAAAGAGAGAAAAGAGAAAGAGAAGAGAGAAGAGAAAGAGAAAGAGAAAGAGAAAGAGAAAGAGAAAGAGAGAGAGAAAGAGAAAGAGAAAGAGAAAGAGAGAAGAGAGAAAGAGAGAGAGAGAGAAAAGAGGAGAGAAAGAGAAAATCAAACACTCGTAAACAATTATATACACACCCCCTTTAGCTTTGAAGTGAGGACATCCGCGCCAGTTGACAGGATCTGAACGAAGCGAAGTTTGGGCGCTTGGTCCATCATCTGAAGGGAATGAGGAAAGAAATAATAATTATAAAACGAATAAAGGAAAATAAGTAATGAGTAGATAGATAATACACGAATAAAGAGATAATGGCATGAAAGTGTAAATAAGTTACGCTGTATAGACATTCTAACAGTTATAGATATACTAATAGCACTAAAAGAGACCCATAATTTGACAGAGTTTAGAGAAAATCAAATACCAAATATTAAGAAAAAGAAAGAAAGAGACAACGGAATACACACACACACATACATACATACGTATATATATATATGTATATATATATATATATATATATATATATATATATATATATATATATATATATATATATATAGAGAGAGAGAGAGAGAGAGAGAGAGAGAGAGAGAGAGAGAGAGAGAGAGAGAGAGAGAGTGAGTGAATGAAGAGAGAGGAGAGAGAAAGAGAAGAAGGGTAAAACTGAACAAAGAAAAAGTCCGAAATGGGGTGGAGAAAGATAAAGAAAAAATATAAAACAAATAGAAAAATTAAGAGCAAGAAAAAACAAAAAAGAGAGAAAGGATAAAAAAAATGAGAAGGAAAGAGAAAACAGAAAGAGAAAGAGAATGAAAAGAGAGAATAGGAAAGAGAAAAACAAAAAAAGAGAGAGAGAGAAAAAAAACGAAAAACGAACAAGAGAAAAACAGAAAGAAAAGAAAAAAAAAAGAGAAGAAGAGAAAGTCCTCACTTTCAACAGCGTCCGGGTGTCTGTAAGGAGGACCTCCGCCTGCCGTAGGTTCTCGACCTCATCCTCGAACAGGTCCCTCTCCAACCAAGGCCTTGAGGTGTTTTTCATGTATGTACCTGCGGTTATGTGGATATATTGGACAGTTAGACACTATGTCCATATATCTCACTACAACAAAAACAACCATCCGAATTATATTATGATTTCGATCTGAAGACTTTCCTCAGAATATAAATTGAAAGAGATATGAATCTTTCCCCCTATCACTGGTCACGGAGAAAGAAAACAAAGTACCATACATAAATATATGGTGTCCTTGTATTAACAAATAGTACAAATAGTATCAGATTCAATATAGGAGATGTAGGAAACCATTTATTCTTCAGCATAGCATCCAAGAAAAAGAAAAAGAGCCAAATACACTCTCCCCCATTTTATATCACGTGATTGATACAAATATTCAAGCGTGTAACACAAACGTTGAAGTTACTGAGTTAGATAGATCGCGTGTTATAATTTAGTTTTATATTATCAATACAAAGACTTGTTCAAAAAACGTTGAAGTTACTGAGTTAGATCACAAGTGTTATAATTTAGTTTTATATCTCGTCAATAAACGTTAGATTATCAATACAAAGACATTAAAATACAAATCTGTCCGTTGGTGGAGTGGCACTGGCGATGATATAATTATATTCGTATCACAAACTCTTGTAATAGGGTTACGCAGAATTAGTTTGATAAAAGAAACAAAAAATAGATCGATTTTCACTATAGATGTCAAGCCGGACCAGGTTCACGCCGCCATGGTTGTTAATGAAGCCGTTCGATCCGTTTAACGTCATAATCTACGTCGACTGCGAGTGAAGTAATGATCACAATCGGTAAATCTAAGACAACCGCGCCTATTAATTTTTTTTCTCCTATTCCCTTCAATCTTGGAGGACCCGTGGAGAATTGGGGGTTGAAGGTGGGCGGGGGTCACAGAAATAGTGGAATCAAAAGTGAAAATCTTGAAAACAACGCCTGAAACATATACACTATAAGGCTATCTATTGATATTTATGAAAATCACAGTGAAGTCAAAAATGTCTCTTCATCCCACCATCCCCTCTCGTTCCCACA